TCTATCTATATCTATCTTTATATCTCTGTCTCTTTATCTCTATCTATCTATCTTTATATCTTTATCTCTCTCCCTCTCACTCTCACTCTCCCTTTCTATCTATCTCTATATCTCTCTATCTCTATATCTATCTCTATATCTCTATCTCTCTCACTCTCTCTTTATCTATCTCCAATTTTCATCCTCTCATTCTATCTATTTATCTAATTTATTAATATATCCAATCCATCTTTTTTTAGCGCTCTACAGATCTTTTACTTCAGCAGATTAACATATTTATTGAATGAGTAAATAATCTATCGCCTTTTGATTGACTATATCTGTTCACCTCTCACTCACTATATTCTGTGTGCAAATTAATACATATCGTTTTCTTCATTTAACTTTTTCACACCAATTACAGCATAATAAACAAAATCGACGTCTAATGTGTGCAATAAGCAAAGTTACCAGCAGTGAACTAAAATTTTCGTTGGTTCTTTGGAAGATACTATTTTTTTATACGATATACATTGTTATATAATTTTAATTTTTATAATTATAATTTAATTTTATAATTAATTTCATAATTTCTAATTTTTTAGGACAATAAGTTTGAATATTTCTCTTTGATTTTTCTAAATATTATATATATGTATTTTAATCAATTAACGATGATCAAAACTTCCAGCATAAATACAACTAATTAAAACTGTTGTCATTAGTCGAACAACTTTCTAATACGAGATTACTTAAAAAGAATCGACAGAAGCATTATTTTAATTATTTTAAAATATTCAAACACATCATTTTACTTTATGAACAATTTTACAATTAAAAGAATATGCAATCGAAAGTGAAGACAATGTGTATTACGCACAATTGGCTAAAGCATGTAATTTTGCCACATCACCAATGAAGAATGAGACCTTGCGTGACCAAAGAGTAAAACGACTCGATTTGTACTTGTTGGTCACCTAATAGCTCACTTTACATTGACAAATGAATTAGTTCGATAAAAATAATTACTTTTTGGTTTCTAAAATTCAGTAGTATTAAGTTCCATTATAAAGCATCAAATTCATCTAATAAGATTTGGGATTAATTATGCAACAAAAGATTTTCTAGTACCCAACTTTTTTTAAATTTTACCATGTTATAAATGTTGCTGTTAATATTGCTCAACTCGGTTAAAATGAATATTAAATATATTCAAGATGAAATAGATTCCAATAAATTGAAGATATTTTTCTTCTGTGTGTACATATAGACACATACATTTAACACTAATAATTAAACGAACACACAAATTACAATCATTTACAAATTTTACACAATTCGTCATACTGTACCAATTACAAAAGAAAAAGACGATGATAACAAACTGGATATTCAGAATCAATAAAAATCTAAGATTCGATCCACTACAGCACTTATGAAAAAATAAAATGCCGACTCCTACAATCAGACAGGCACACTGATGATGGTGAAATGCTGAAACATCACGTACAGACCGGCCGAGATTGGTAAGGACCAAATTACAAGTTTATCACCTAGTAGACCAAAGGAGAAAATATCAAGATTTAAACAAAGCACAGTAATTCTTAACCTACATACGTTCTTCCTAATATTTTTTTAAATTATATAATAATAATTTTACAGAACTAACAGGAACAATAGTTCAAATTTGTTTTTATTATTTTGCCTTTTTGTTTAGAACAGCTGGATGTTATATTGAATATACTAGCGTAGTATCAAATTTAATGGTATATAGTCTTCATAATTACTTTTTAAAGTATGTATGAGAAATTTTTAATCACGAAATATTTCAATTGTTATCTGCATTATTTTCGACCTTCGATTTTCAGGGCCTATTTTAAATACCAATTATGAATAAAAATAGTACATTCTCTAGTTTTTGTGGTCCGCTGGACTAATTAATATCATTCACTTAATTCTGGTTTTTAGGTAAGATAAAAAAGTCAATGTCACGAGCGGGATTCGAACCCACGACCTCTGGCTTGATACGCCGTTACTCTCCCACTTGAGCTATCGCGACTTCGTTCCTCTGGGGCACTAACTTCCCATCTCACCCCTACCTTTTGAATTTTCCCTCCTTTTTGACATATTTCAACTAAATTCTTTTCGCTTGTATATTGTACGAATTGTCATTAGTCAGGTTGTACTTACGTTATTAAGTGTTACCAAAGTCATTTAAATTCACCATAAATTCTATAACTGTTCAAATATTAACACTTGAATGTTAGTTTCAAGGCGTGTTTAACATCCCCTGTTTCAAAGATGTAATTTCGTTTTATGAACTGCAAGTCAAGATGGTAATGGAACCGGTAAATCCAAGACTGTATGAAGTGCTAAGTGCACAGTTGGGCGTATGGATATTCTGGCGTTCTTCGTTGAACTAGCATTAACAAACATAAAATGTAAGAGGGCGTCTGCTTAGAGCTCGTAACGCATCGTTTCTATGTTAAGTCCTTCTCGTTAAGGACGAAGGGAGGATGAAATTCGGCATCGCAAGGAATTCACAATAGGCGGGGCACCGCTGTTTACAAGCCATCCAAACTAAGGAGAGAAGCTCAGTCAAGTGGACCTAAGGAGTTTTCGAGCTGTTAGACTGGGAATCGCCTTTAATGAAATGTACAATGTTGTAACAAGAAGGAGCGGTCACTAGTTTAATCAAGCGGCCAATATCCTGGGGCGCTAAGCATTGTCCCTTTCTGGGCTTATTGTGTCCTTTCTCGCCCCCGCACATTCACCGTCCCCACTGAGGAAATTAACAAGGACGCATCCTCAAAATGTTTACTATATCCTATAAATTCCCCTTTCCCCACAGGGACTTTAATTATCTATTTTGCAGTTTCAAATTTCACATGAGTCAAATGTTGGAAACGATTACGGTAATAACCGAAACGGCGGGTCGTTAAACCGCACGCTTTTTAATGGGGTTGGGGTGAAATTGTTTTTGCGGATCCTAATGGGGTGATTACTAGCCTCCAATTACATTTGGCATCTGAGCCCGGCTTTCATCAACAATGACCTCTGGTCATCCCTTAACCAGGCGGATATGTTTTTTTTTTGTTCGGCAAAAAGGATGGGGGAATCTGTTTATAAAAGTCCATTGAATCCCCTATGAGCACCACCTATTCATACTCATGATAAAAGCAAGCTAAGAGCTTTAATGGACCCTGCAAAACAGAGAATTGATCTCTTTTTTTTTAGACAAAATTGTTTTATAAATGCTAGATATATTATCACTTGTTAAACATTTTCTACTTAACCCGTGTTTTTTGATTAATGTAAAAATGATGTAAAAAAAGATATTTTGTGTTGATTTTCAACTTGTATACAGGTTTTTGCGTCGTTATAGCGTAAAAGATTTTATATTCATTGAAAATATTTATTTAAAATCTGATAGAACCATTGTTTTCAGGGTAAAAAATTCTTTAAAATCAGCCGTCAGGTTGTATAATGTTGTATACAAAATTTTCAAGTTAAACTGGGCCTAAAGTACCCTGCATAATTTTCTCTAAAAAAGTAAACATTTGAAACAAGTATAAAAAATATTAAACTTATGATTTTTCCTTCTCGAAGGTGGGATAATAGGTCATCTTCAAAAGCAACAACCAATTTTTCTTTCCATCCACAACGTTTCGGATTTATTTTAATCCTTCCCCAGTGAGTTAACGCAGTGGTTAAAACACTGGTCGTCAGTCATTAATATTTTGTAACAGTTTATTTTAAAAAAGGGCCGGTGTTGTACTTATTTAAGTCTTTCAGACTCCGAACAACGATTTAATATTTTGTACCTGACTACTTACTTAAATTTATATCACACTGGCTCTTTTTTTAAAATAAACAGTAACAAAATATTAATGACTGACGACCACTGTTTGAACCACTGCGTTAACTGACCTGAGGAAGGTTTTAAATAAATCCTAACGTTTCGGATTGAAAGAAAGCCTGGTTGTTATTTTTTTTGAGATGACCTATTATCCCCCCTTCGAGAAAGAAAAATCATAACTTACACTGTTGAGGTCGAAATATAAGAAAAAAATATTAAAAATGTATTCTTTGCTGTTTGATAACGTCATTGGTTCAAGAAAAAAATCAGCCGGGCCATCTAAAAAGGACACCCTGCATATCGTACAGCTTACTGGGGGTAATCTGGTTAAGAACGATATAATAATAATACTCTAGATTTAATACTTGAGGGGATGCTAAAAGTAACAGGAACGCGCTTCTTCGCCTCCCCTGGGAGGACCAGGCACAAGCCGTATAAATCGTCGGTGATGGTGTTTGAAATACAAACACGGATTACACAAAAGGCTAAATGGATTTAAAAAGGGCAGGGGCATTAAAATGCATTGCACCGGGCTGAAACCGAGGGGCCTGAGAGGGGGGGCGTCCCGATTTCTCAGCCTTAACGTCAAGAGTCGTACGCTTTTCGTAATTTATAAGCACTTCGGAAGCCTAATATGCTTTTAACCTGGGGAGGGTTGAGGACAGGGCCATTTGTTCGACGCGGCCCTGAAGTCGAACATCGCGGAAATCGACCCCAGGGTGTTTACAGCTTTTTCCATCTCGCATCATTTACCATGCACGCTCCACATGCGAAGACATTAAGCGAGGCCTAGTGTTGATGTATTCGATTCTAAACTCTGTGATAGATACTAGTTAAATAAACATTACATTTCTTCTATTCCTACAAGTTTTATTTATGTTTTGTTATGAAATGTATTCTGTTATGTGTTAAAGAAAGAATAACAACAATTCAAACTTCAGTAAACGTCTGACCGTCTGACGCTAAAAACCTAATAAAAAGTAAGATTGATATCATTGCATGTTTTATATTATGATTTAATGCCAACAACAAACAAACAAAAATCAATGTCAACTTGAAATTTAGTGAGCCTTATAGAAAAGCAAATAAAACGACATAGCAATGAATCTATGTTGTTTCATTGGCGGGTTATCAGTGTATCGTTTCGTCTCTTTAAATTATTTAAATTTTCAGATGTTTTATAAGAGTTTTCAACTGGTGAAAGGGAAGCGCTCGACTTCATGGGTTTCGCATAAATTTAGTTAGTACCCCCCAGCGTTCGCCTAACATCTGTCCCTTTTTCGCCATAAACGCCCTAGTGATTTGCTAAAAGGGCCGCCGTGAGTATGCGAACTTCGTTATTAACATGGCCGACTGAAGGGCTGCGATATTACAGCGGAGGGGTCACGTGCTGATGACGGTCACTCCAAGATTACGACTCCCGCTGCATCAGGGCTTGTTTTAATTAAAGCGGCCCAGGCCTCGTTTGCTCGCACCGTCAGCCGTTTTACAATCATATGACCGGTTAGTGTAAAATTCAAAATAATTTCAATCTTTTGTGGATTTTTTTTCTCGGTAAATTAAAAACTCCAAACGTTATTTATACGTTGTTTCAACAGTTCTCAATAGACGGTGGGATGTTCGGTAGTAAGAAGCAGGACAGCGCATATGCCGAGGTAATAAGAATATTTGTGCGGATCTGTCTTCACACTATATTTGTTTAAACGAGAAATACTTGCCATTTGAACTTATTTATTGTTATTTTGGTCAGCATAAGTATACTTCAAAGTCTTCCTAGTAGTTGATCTTTTTTATATTACACTGACGCTCTCTGGTGATAATGTTTATTCTTGTTTCTTGACGCGCCATATTTAATTGACAATTTTCTATTATCGTTTTATTTGCATAGAATAGCCTAAATATCATTGAATTCTTCTAACCTGTGGTTTAATCGCGTCAAATCATGTTGGTTTGTTTTCTTTCTAATTTGTTAACCGCCATACCACGTCGGACAGACCCAACGAACCAGGCTAATATCATTCGTTTCGCATAATTTCTGCCAAATATTTCTGGTTATTGATGTCATATTTCGTTAATATAACTTTCATCTCTGATGAAAACATGATCTGTCTTCAGAATTCGAATAGTTTCTACACTTTTTCTCGCTGCTGACACTGATAGGTTTCTCCATATTATTCTCTTCTCATGACCATATTTGATCATAATCCTGGATCATATCAACCAAGCCTAACTTTACATCCAACATTGACTCTTATTTTAAAGTGAAAATCATGTAATTTCTCATAACTTACTTATTCTTTTGGTTATTTATTTTTATCGTTACATTTCACTCTGTATCAAATCGATTTCAACATGTAAATTTTTTTTCGGTTGGATGCATAATTTTTTACCGCAACAATTTACTGTTACAGTCGAGTATGCATGGGTTGCGTTAGGTAACAATAGAGTTAGGGTTTTCTGAGTTTGGCTAAGGTACTTTACGGTAAGATTAGGGTTAGGGAGGTTTAAGTTTTGGGAAAGGTTTATTTAAGTTTACAGTAAGAGTGAAGTTTAGTTAGGGTTATAGTTAGGTTAGGCGAGGCTAGTTCCATGGCCAACATTAGGGCCATGTAAGGTTAGGGCAGGGTAAAGGATGTTTCAGGTTAGGTAAAGTAGGGCTTAATCGAAAATTAGGGTTAGTGTATATAATGTTTAGGGCAGGGTTCGAATGGATTAGGGTTTAGGATTGGTTCGGTGAGATGTGATAAGGTTAGGGAAGAATAAAGATTAGGGTTAAAAATGGGCTTTAGTTGGGTTAGGGTAAAGGTTAGGTTAGGGTGATGGAATGGTTATGTTATATTATGAATGTTTGGAGTTAGAGTTAGGGTTAATTTACGTTACGTAGAATTAAATAAGGAGTACGTTAGCTTAGTGTAATGGTAAGGGATGGCTTAGGTTAAGGAGCTTTAGGATTAGAGACGGTTAAGGTGAAATATTTAAGCTAGCATGTTTTAGTAAATTAAGTTATTTATTTTGTTTTCATTATTCTTATGTATATGTGAGTATAAAATTGAATTACTTATATGAAATATCTAGTGTATGTTATAAATGTATATATTTAAATAATTTAAACTTAAAAATTTCTAACGGGTTTATTTAAGCTAGTAAGAAATCTCGTTTATTTAATTGTTTCATTGTGTTCATGTTTTTATTACTAGTCAAAATAGTTTATTTATATTGTTTAAAAATGTTCTAACCGCCAAAAATTATCTTTAAAAATTGTTATAAAACCTCTCAGGAAAGAAAAAAAATCCCTGTAAAACCAGATCGCCGCCCAGCGGTACATCTCGGAAACGTTACAATATAATTATAATTATGACGGCTCAAGATCTGTGTAAGGGGACCTGTTGTGATTGAAAAAATAATAATAAGAATTAATTTAGAAACATATCAAAACAAATAATGAGATAAATAAAAAATAAAATAAAAGTTAACGCTGTAAGAGGTTTACACCGAAAAACTGCAAAAACACAAACTAACAAAATCACAACAGATTAAGGTAAAATATCCAATATTTTTTCTTTTACAAAGATGAGAAAACATGCGGTTTCGAAGCGCGAGTTAATAGTTTCCGCTGTCTCTCTCCCTCGCACTCTCTCTCTCTCTCTCTCTCTCTCTCTCTCTCTCTCTCTCTCTCTCTCTCTCTCACTCTCTCTCTCCCTTTCTATCTATCTATCTATCTATCTATATCCATCTATCTATACCTATCTATCTATATATATCTATCTATATCTATCTATCTATCTCAATCTCTTTCTCCCTTTCTGTCTCTCCATCTTACGCCTTTTCTCCCTCACCCTCTCACCATACTCCTTCTTTGTCATCAGATTTTTGAATTCTTCCATTGACTTGAAACGAATGATATTTGCAACGATTTAATGTTACATATATATAACACTAATATCAAACTTTTCGTATTGTTTTCTTGTATTTTTCCATATCTATCTTAACAGAACTTGTATTTGCTTCTTGACATATGCACTGGGGGTTAAATTATCTTAAACTAAAAAAACGGTACCACGCATGGAAAAACAGCCACCACGAAATTACTGATAAAGAAAAACGTATAAAGGATTTAACTACTTGAATATTGAGAACGAGGCTTTTGTTGTTCTGTGCATTCAAATCGCTATTATAAAATATGATGAAACTTGTCCTTTTTCAATTTGACAGATTATTATTATTTTAAGTTTAAGAGGATTACCTTTTTAGAATCTTTGTTAATCTGTCAGGTTTGATAACCGGTTTCATATAAAAAGCTTTATATTTCAACTGAAGTAGCATCGTCCTGTTTATGAATTGCTATTGAGAAATTTCATTCAATGAGAGACTCGGCTATTCTAGACACCTAATAACTAAAAAAATTTAATAATTAAGAAATATTTTTTCCAGGAGGAGTTAGCGGTTTACCTCTCGGGTGCTATCTACTATTTGTCGTGTGTAGCAGTTTCTTGTCTCGTGTGGTTTGGACTAAGGAGAGTTTTGACCAGAGTGTTGCAAAACCATACGTACAATGTTTTTGCAACGGTGCATGCACTTATCGTAGGAGCGACACTAAGCTCGAGTTTGACGGATACGTTGTCTTTCTCCACTTATGAACCTATAACGCCGAACAAAGAATTTTTCCTTCTTTACACCTGCGGATACCATCTGCACGTCTTTCTCGAGCTGTCATACAGGAAGAACAAGCTCCTACTCTTCTCGACTGTATGCTACATACTTTCGATCATCTTCGTACTCCTGAACGATGTGGGGACCAAGTTGCTCCTGCTGTACATGTTCCTCGTCGAGTCGTGCACGCCGTCTTTGTGCCTGGCTTCCTTCATGCAACAGGGATCTAGCAACTTGTATATAGTCAACCTGTCCAAAGGGCTTGCCCTCTGCACCGTGTTTTACGAGCAGATTCTAATCGGTTACTCCATGGCTATGCCGATCGCGATGATGTTGCCCGAGAAGGAGAAGCCTGCGTGCTACGCCCTCACCACCGTCTTTTTCTTCTCACTCCTCATCAGGCTTTACGAACTTAGCAAGCTGATTTCCGGTAAACAGGCAAAAAAGAAAGTATGCAACGAGGAGAGTTTTTGGCAAAATTTTTTTATCACACAATAAAATTAATAATAATTGTCTTATTTAAGTTTGTATTACGGGCTTATTTCACATTAATATAAAAAATATGCTTAACATAAATCCATGTGGTAGAAAAACTATATTCATCTATGGTCAATAATGCACAAAGTTTTGACAAACTAGAAGATATTTAACTAAAATAATTAGCAGCTTCTGAAGATGAGAAAAAAAAGTTCCACAATAGAAAAAATACGTTTAAAATTATTTAAAAAAACGACATGAGGGTGATCTATTATCATTGGATTTAATTAAAAACCTATTTAAATACATTTAGATGCAATATTAGTTGAGTTATCAAAGCAGATGCGAGCGGATGTCGGGTCGCTGTGGAAAACAAAGAGCTGTTTGCGAAATGTGGGCCGCCGGACAAAAACACAGGCACGCGCCGCACTCGCAAAAAACAGTCCGATCTTCATCAGGGCGTCTATCCTGGGCTTGCGGAAAATCCCATGAGGGCCCGGATGGGGGTGGTGGTCAGTTCGCAAACGCGCAAACACGTGGCTTCTCCGCGGCAGATGCGGGCCCTTCCAGTTGCCAACCCTTCCCAGAGGGCCAGCAACCCTTTTACTTCCGATTAAGCCTCGTTGGCCCAATTGCTATACACTCAGGAGCCGGTGATTGACGTCTCGTCATAAGAAACTGGACATCAGGGCGAGATAATTGGTCTTTATCAGTTAACGACCCTTTTCTAAATTGCGGTCAGGAGTATTTGACGTCCGGGCAAGTATTGACGACTTGAAACGGATACAATTGCCATTTGCATAATCATAGTTATAGTTATTATCACATACTTATAAATGTGAGCACCAAGGGAATCTTTAGTAAAAAAATAGACAAGCTAGCACTGCCGAGCGATGTTACATTCAAAGGACCTGTCTAGTAGAAGAAGGGTAATTATCACCCTATTAAGGATAGGCAGGATAGGTTTACCCAAGGGCAGTTACATTTGGCCCAAACCTCTCATATGTTTCCGGCATGGAGAGAAACGTTCAAGCCATGTCCCACCTAATTGAAGGCGGCAACTCATTGGCTGCTTATAGAGAGCGCGTAGGAATGCCTTCCAATATGATAATTGTGCCAGGGTTGTCTTATTGTATACAGGTTGTCTCCCTACTCAATGCATTAACTTCACGAGCACTTTAACCCCCCCCCCAAAGAAAAAAACACCTTATAAACCATGGTATGGTATGGTATGGTGGAAAGGATACTAGGAAGCGCGTATTTTCCGTACGTTAGGTTAAACCTCCATTGAGCTGTTGCTTCGCATTCGAAGATGATACGGCTGGCTGTTTCCTCCTCCTTATGACATAATCTGCAAATGGGGTCATCGCTGTATATACCCATGTTATGTTGATGTTTTCCCAGATACCAGTGACCGGTTAGTAGTCCTACCACTCCTCTGAGTTTAGCCCTCTCCAATTGCAGCAGTGTTTTTGCCAGTCTTAGTGAGGGTTGTTTCATCATAACTTTACTATGTCTAGCACCGCTCGAGTTTATCCAGTTCCCCTTTTGTTTTGTTTGGATCATCCGTTCTGCGATGAAGGATTCTCCATTTGTTTTTATTATCCTAAGTATAGATTCGGGGCCTATGTATGGTCTTGCAGATCCTCTTCTGGCCAGACTGTCGGCTTTCTCATTACCCAAAATTCCCCTGTGCCCTGGCACCCAAGATATCATTAGGTTGCTGGGTTTCCCCCGGTTTTGGAGATTTTGGATGCATTCACTGTCTAATTTTGATGTTATTCTTTTACTTGCTAATGCTTTAATGGCTGCTCGGCTATCAGATCTTATGAGGATTTTTTTGCTAGTGTAACCTCTTTTCAGATTTTCCCGGCCACAAGCATGGATGGCATGTATTTCTGCTTGAAAAACCGAAATGTACTTCCCTAATGAGTTTGATTGCTCATGTTTTGGGCTTGTACAGAAAACGCATAATCGGGTTCGTTCGTTTGTTTTGGAGCATGGTCTGATCCTTACCCCTTTCGCAGATATCCAACGTTTTATGTTTTGTTTTTCTCAACCATCTATGGTTTTCGTCATAAATGTATTCAGTAATCCTAGCTCTTTAACTATTAAAAGAGCGTTAGATTTCCTTTAAGAAGCCATCCTTCTAAAACTTTCTATTTAATTTTTCGTAACAAAACAAGCACTAAACCTTACTAACTAAACCGATTTATTGTTTGTTTTGTTAACTAAATTAAATTGAAAATTCTAGAAAGGTAACTTCTTATAGGAAATTGGACACTCTTTTTGATGATTTTTTGGATATCCACATATCAAGAGCTGCGAGTAAATTTATGATGAAAACCGTAGATATTAAAAAAAAATATGAATGTCTGCGAAAGGGTTGAGGATCGGACCTTGGTTTATATGGGGAGTTATACACATTCTATTTGGTTAGTCGAGTGTTAAAGTTAACGCATTGAGTAGCAAGATATAGTACATTCTGATAGTGTTGTGTGCCTAGCGAGTGTTGAGAGTGAATGTATTTATTAGCGTGAATGTATACAGTGCGAGCGAGTCAACGCCGGAATAATGAGTACTATCGACTATCAGTTAAGTTGTTTATATAATGGGTGAAAAGTATTATGGTATAATATCAAGTACTCCACCATCCTAACAGATTGAATGGCATGTAAATATGAAGAGAATGTATTTAAGAATGAGTGTGAGAGTGAATGCGAGACTGATTACTCTGGGCTGAAATGATCTAGCTACTGATAGCCTGGAGCCAAACGTCGGCGTCTGGTCGGATAAGACTGCCAATACCAGGATTGGGTGATTCTCATGGCCAGTAGGTAATTTACTGTAACTCACAAAATCTGGAATTACCAGAGGACTGCGAGGAGTGATAGGCTATATTCAGTAATCGGCAATCAGTGATAATCATAATATCTAATAGGTAAATTGCGAAACAACTAAAACAACACTCAAGTGGAAAACTTTAAATATCGCAGGGCTTAACATTCAGTTGGGTGTCACAGGTGAGTGGTCAAACAACTATAAAAGTTTTTTGCTTATTATGTTGAATTACAAAACTACGGACTATGTCGCGATTTGATTCTGGAAACGCTAGGTGGCAAGTGCTAGTCGGACTTAATAAACTTTCAGCCACCGCGGTCCCGTTGTCAACTTTTATGACCTTTTCATTTTGTCGAAAAAATCGTTAAAAACACTTAAGTCAGGCCCTATGTGTAAATTTTTTTTCTATCTACAATATTTTTTCTAAAATAGGTTTTAAAGTTAAATTTTAGTTTAGTGTAACGTCAATGGTATAAACTTATGTAATTAAACTTATTCTCCTTATCAACCTGAACTTAACATCAAGTTCGAAAGTATGACAAATAAAAGAGGAATATGTTGAACTTTTGTTGCTCCATAAGTTTTCCAACTTAGTCCAGATTTAGTCTATTCCTTCAGTAACACTGAAAATTCGAAAAAATACGCCAATTTAATGCCATATGCGTACGTGGGTGCATCTGCCTCGGAACCTTATGAAGATCCATTTAGAAAAAAGTATTATTAAGTGGTTTGTCCGTGCATCCGCGACATCCAACGGACGTTAAACCCCTCCTGGCTGATCGGTACCTCTTTATTTACTTACATTATTACTTAGAAAGATACCATAAACTCTTGTCAAATTTCCACCTTCTACAAAAGGGAGGCTCTGATCCAGCACCAAACAGAGAATTAGACAGTACTTTTTTTATTACTGGCTGAAATAAATGACGTAAAATAACCTCATACTAGTACATCAAACTTAAATGCAGTGTATTAGTTGAGATAAAAAAGTCAGTATCACGAGCGGGATTTGAACCCACAACCTTCGGCTCAATACGCCGCTGCTCTAACCACTTGAGCTGTCGTGACATCGATCTACTTGAATATCACCTTCCCATCGCAACCCAACGTTTCGAATTCGATATGGGAAGTTGGTGTCCGAGAGAATCGAAGTCACGATAGCTCAAGTGGTAGAGCAGCGACGTATTTAGCCGAAGGTCGTGGGTTCGAATCCCGCTCATGATACTGACTTTTTTATCTCAACCAATACCTAACATAAAGATTAATGAATTGAAAGATGTTGATTGGTCGGATCGGTGAAATGTAGTATTGAGTGGCTGTTTCGGATTAGGGATTATAAGAACTACTTTACTTAATATCAGTCGCTATTATATTATTCATACAATACCTCCTTGTTGTTGCACCAAATCCAGAGCGTTGAAAGTATCTAACTCAGGTCGGGTTTTCAATAGGTGTCTATATTCAGTACGATGAACACAGGTTCTTTTACTATCCTTATCGTTGAAGATGTCACATCGAATCGTCAAGAGTAAGAATAATTTAACTATTCTCTACAAAATTGACCAAACGGTCTTTTTGTATTCTTTCTAAATAAGGTCATTCCGCTCTATAAAATTAGCTACATCACCGCTGTGTCACACAAGTATTGAAACTGGCCAGAATATTGCGTGCCCAATGAGAGGGAGTACTTGAAAGTGACCGGTGTTTGTTTCACGGCGCACTGTTTTGCAAGGAGTGCCAGTCATGAAGGTTTAGGATATTGGCTCAGCCGTGAAGTTTTATACTTTTTCGCGTTAAATGCAAATCTTTCTATAACTTTAGTTGAACTTAATATCTCTTTTTTCAATAGCACTATGACATCTGTTCAAAATCACAACCACTTTTATGCATCCACAGGGTCTAATGTTAAAACGTGCTTGTTGTTAAAGCTGGTTCTAAAGGAAAAAATAAAAATGATAGCAATTTCATTCACTATTCGTTCGAAATAAACTAGCCACGAAATAGGATACAAAATTAAATAAACATAAAGTGAGATAGCAAAGGTAAAGAAAGATGGATAGATATATAGATAGATAGATAGATATATAGACAAAGAGAGAGAGAGAGAGAGGAAGAGAGAGAGAGAGAGGAGAGAGAGAAAAGCGAGAGAGAGAGAAAAAGAGGGAGAAAAAGAGAGAGAAAAAGAGAAAGGAGAGAGAGAGAAAG